CACACTTATTCCAATGGCAAGATGAAAACAGAGGGGCACATAGCTGCCAAATTCTCACTCTTGACAGCCTAGAGCAAACATTTGGTTTACTCAACGGCTCCTATTTTCACTTAATGACCGCTGCGAAAGTTGTAATACTATATCTGTCACATTGGTGACCTGTTTTGCGACCCTCACGAGTTAACCATGAACGGACGGGCTCCATTACAGTTACAAGTTAAGGACTACCTGTATTTTTATTTATTTGTTTTTCTTTATATAAGGACATTTTGCTTTCTTTTCTTTTTTTTCTTTTTTAAACCCAGCGTTTCCTTGCAACCTTCGGCGAGTTCCTTTCAAAAATTTTTAGTAAAGCTCGTGGCTGTTCTGCTTTTTTTTTCTTTTCTCTGTAGATGGGAAGTTATTGCCAATTACATGAATTTGCACTCCGCCACGGGGATAAGGCGAACGGCGAAAGACGTCATCAACAAAGCAAAGAACCTCCAGAAACTTGGTATCGTTACCTTTGTAAGATGGTCTGCATGCTTTCATTTTTACTGACCTTTTGTTTTAAATTCAGCGTTCAATCTGCGAGCTTAAAAATCAGGTCTGGCTATCCCCTGGAAATTTTTCCCCCCGTGTCCTCCAGTCTGAAGCCGAGGGACGAAATCTTGGAATCCACTGTCTCTCTTTTCTTCCTTGATCTCTGCTGGTTGCCGTTACACAACGTTCTGTCTGAATGCCTGAATGAAAGCTGTTATCTTGTTATCGTTCAGTAACCCTCTTAATCGGGGGTCTTCAAACTTGGCCCCTTTTATGACTTGTGGACTTCAACTCCCAGAATTCCTCAGCCAGGCACACAAGTTGAAATCCACAAGTCATAAAAGGGCCAAGTTTGAAGACCCTTGTGATAGATGATAGATAGATGATAGATAAATGATAGAGATAGATAGGATAGATAGATAGATAGATAGATAGATAGATAGATAGATAGATAGATAGATAGATAGATAGATAGATAGATAGATAGATAGATAGATAGATAGATAGATAGATAGATGATGGATGGATGGATGGATGGATGGATGGATGGATGGATGGATGGATGGATGATAGAGATAAATAGGATGGATAGATAGGTAGGTAGGTAGGTAGATAGATAGATAGATAGATAGATAGATAGATAGATAGATAGATAGATAGATAGATAGATAGATAGATAGATAGATAGATAGATATAATAGACCAAAGGTCTTCAAACATGGCTCTTTTATGACTTGTGGACTTCAACTCCCAGAATTCCTCAGCCAGGCATGCTGGCTGAAGAATTCTGGGAGTTGAACTCCACAAGTCAAGGGATCTTCAAACGTGGCCCTTTTATGACTGGTGGACTTCAACTCCCAGAATTCCTCAGCCAGGCACGCTGGCTGAGGAATTCTGGGAGTTGAAGTCCACCAGTCATAAAAGGGCCAAGTTTGAAGACCTCTGCTCTTAAATTAAAAGGTTGTCATTAAGCAGAATTCCCATTAATTCCAAATGAGATTTTAGGTATGTTCAGAAGCATTTACTTTGGTGCATCCATTGATTGTAAAAACTCTAGTGTAATGGAATTTGCACCAGACAAAATCTCTGCCTTGTGGAGCTTTATTCCAACACCCTATCGGATACTACATGTGTATAGAACAGTTAGCTGCTGTCCCTGAGAACATATATTAAATGGGGTTTCTGCTGCTCATGCTGGAGGCCAAATTGCTCCATTGATACAGATTTATCAAAGAAATGTAATTTGGTGGCCTTTCGGGAGAATAAAAAAAAAATCAAGCTGCGATTAAACAGTTGTTAGCCTAGCAAAATAACCAGAAATGGCTCCTTTTTTTTTAAAGAATTGGGGGGTGCTTAAACTAGGTGTACAAGCCTTTTGCTTCTGAGTAGGAAAAATAAGGGAGCCTGCCTTAAACAGACTCCACTTTCATTCCCAAGTTGCTTCCAGTGCAAGAAATGTTGTAGACGTGCAGACTAGATCGATGTGTGAATTAGTTATGCAGTCTGGAAAGAATCTACCATGGGGAAAGGGGAAAAAAAGCAGTCGTTGTTAAATATTATTACGAAATCCTTCCAGTATGAAGTGAAAAAGGACGTGTGTGTTACCAGACTTGAATCATTGGAGCGTACGATGAAATCTTGACTTAAATCAAAAAGTTGACGAAGGATCCGTAGAGCTTGTTTCCTGCAACTTCGTTAGCAGACGATCTCTCTTCATGTCTCCTTGTTGTTAGATCCCCTCCAAAAGGATGACATCAATAAGAAAGCTTTTGATAAATTTAAGAAAGAGCATGGAGTCATACCCCAAGCAGACAGCGCTGCCCCATCAGAGCGTTTTGAAGGTAAACGGAGAACGGAGGATACATCTGTTGGTATATTCTACTTGGGAATAGAATAGAATACAATAGAATGGGATGGGATGGGATGAGATGGAATAGAACATGAAATAGAATAGAATAGAACATGAAATAATAATAGAATAGAACAGAACAAAACAGAATAATGGAATGGAACAGAATAGAATAGAACAGAATGGAATATAGAATAGAATAGAACAGAATGGAATATAGAATAGAATAGAATCTGGAATAGAATAGAATCTAATCTGGAATAGAATCTGGAATGAATGGAATAGAATAGAATAGAATAGAATAGAATAGAATAGAATAGAATAGATGGAAGAATGGAATAGAATAGAATAAATGAAGAATGGAATAGAATAGAATAGAACAATAGATGAAGAATGGAATAGAATAGAATAGAATAGAATCAATGAAGAATGGAATGGAATAGAATAGGAAATAGAATAGAATAGATGAAGAATGGAATGGAATAGAAGAATAAAATAGAATAGAATAAATGAAGAATGGAATGGAATAGAAGAATAGAATAAGAATGGAATAGAATAAATGAAAAATGGAATGGAATAGAATAGGAAATAGAATAGAATAGAATAGATGAAGAATGGAATGGAATAGAAGAATAGAATAGAATAGAATAGAATAAATGAAGAATGGAATAGAATAGAATAGAATAGGAAATAGAATAGAATAGATGAAGAATGGAATGGAATAGAATAGAATAGAATCTGGAAGGGCCCTTGGAGGTCTTCTAGTCCAGCCCCCTGCTCAAGCAAGAGAACCTAGACCATCTCAGACAGGCGACTGAGATCTATTTAGCATTTTCACTGTGTTGCCAAGATAGCCTGAAGCATCGGGATTCCTTCCAATTCACAGACTAGACTAGGAAATAAAGCTAGCGCTGTCTTTGGGAAGCGACTCGTTGGTTTTTAAGAACAGTTATTAAAAATACGAAAGGCACTTCGGTGGGGAAGGAAGCTACCCATTTGGAATCCCGGCCATTGCGGAAGGGAAATACTTTCAAGGGAATTCTTTCCAGGAGTCCCTGCTCATTCGTCTCCCACAGTCTCCTTTACAGACGCCTCTCCGTGGACAACAGAAGAGCAGAAGCTTCTAGAACAGGCTCTGAAAACGTATCCGGTGAACACGCCCGAGAGGTGGGAGAAAATAGCAGCGTCCGTCCCAGGCCGATCTAAAAAAGACTGTATGAAGCGATATAAGGTGAGCCGGTGTCGGCTTTTGCTTTTCTTTTTTCTTTTAATTTTATGAATTTAAAACACTAAACACACCATTCAGCCCTGCAACAAGTGTAACTTTGGGAACTGGTCACAAACCCCCCGACATTCAGCACACTGCTGTAACTCTGAACGGTTGCGGAAGGAGTAACCCGGTCCTAATTCAAGGACTACCTGTTTGTAAATGAATAGTAAGTCCAGCCTTAATGTTGACTACGAGCTGCTTAAACCCATGAAGTAAAGGTAGTTCTCGGCTTACGACATTCGTTTAGCGACCACTGAAAGTCACAACAGCACTGAAAAAAAAAGACGACTCTTTTGCCCCAGGGTCACGGGATCGAAATTCGGCCGCTGGTTCCTATTTACGACGGTTGCAGCGTCCCCCCGGGGTCGCGGGATCCCCTCCTGACAAGCAAAGTCGACGGGGGGAGCCGGGTTCATTTAACAACCGTGTTACTAACTTAACAACTGCAGTGATTCGCTTAAACCAGGTCGTAAAATGAGGCAAAACTCACTTAACGGCCGACTCGATTCGTAAGTCGAGGACTGCCTGTATTTTTAATTTTGAAGCGAGAAGCTTCAATCCAGCATAACCGGATCCAAACCTGCCAGGTGGTGGGCCCAGGATTGTAATCTGAGCCCTGCTTTTCTTGCAGATGAACCTCTTCCACCAGTCTTAACAGATATTGAGAGCCTCACACACACACAACACACACACACCAAAGCCATGGATGCTCTTCATAGCATCTAATGACAAATGTTGAATTTGCTAACCGCTTGCAGTGCTTCTGTAGCGTCGTATGGCCAAGGGTCTTTTCAGCTGCTCCAGAAATAACCCGCTCAGGCACCGATTCCCGACCTTTTGTGGCTTGTGGTCCAGCTGGGGGTGTGTCGTGGGGGTTACCAGGCCGCAAGAGCATTGAGCTGCGCACACATGTGCGTGTGCCCCAGCCCGCTACCCATGGAAGTTGAGCTACGTGCGCACGGGTGCGTGCCAGCCCGTCTCTCGTGTGGCCCGGTAGCGGGCCGCAGCCCGGGGTTTAGGGACCCCTGTACTAAGGAGTCTCTCTCCTGGATTAAAAATAAAAAGGGCCAAATTCCATTTATTCTTTCTTTCTCTCTCTCTAGGAGCTGGTGGAGATGGTCAAGGCCAAAAAAGCCGCCCAAGAGCAAGTAGTGAATGCTGCTAAAACTAAGAAATGAGATTTTTTTCCCCTCCCCGCCCTCCGTTGACAATCCTAGTGCGTGTTTTTGTTTTGTAATAAAAAAAAAAAATACAAATGCAGAATCGACTTCGTTTTATTGTCTTCTTTTTCTAGACAGCCCTGCGGTTTTTCGAGGCTGCGTTGTCAGTTCGATCGGACAGATTATCGGGGGGTGGGGGCAGCAGCAGGGTCTCCCCTGAAAAAGCCAATCGGTGTCAGGGTGACTTTTTTTTTTTTAAATAAAAAGCCTGCCATTAGTAAAAAGGGGAACAAAAAAACCATCCTTCTAGTCCTGAAAGTTTAACTGTTGCCACAAATCAAATGTCTTGTTTGATCTCCATCACTATCAATCCCGAAGCCAATACATGCCGCTGCAGAGTCGGTCGTAATCAGGGAGCTGTTCAAGAGGACCTGGAGTAAGAAAAAGGAAGCTTATTACTCGGTGTCAAAGCTTGCGAAATGTTTAAAGAAGGAAATCAATTAACTACAGGCAGTCCTCATCTTACGACAGTTCAAAGTCACCACGATGTAAAAAGGATGTTGGGACTCTAGAAAGTGCAGAGAAGAGCAACAAAGATGATTTAGAGGACTGGAGGCTAAAACATATAAGGAACAGTTGTTGGAATTGGGTCGGTCTAGTTTAATGAAGAGAAGGACGAGGGGGGACATGATAGCAGTCTTGCAGTATCTCAGGGGCTGCCCCAAAGAAGAGGGAGTCAAGCTATTCTCCAAGGCGCCTGAAGGCAGGACAAGAAGCAGCGGATGGAAACTAATCAAGGAGAGAAGCAACCTGGAACTAAGGAGAAACTTCCTGACAGTGAGAACAATTAACCAGTGGAACAACCTGCCTCCAGAAGCAGTGAATGCTCCAACACTGGAAGTTTTTAAGAAGAGACTGGACAGCCATTTGTCTGGAATGGCATAGGGTCTTGAGCAAGGGGGTTGGACTAGATGACCTCCAAGGTCCCTTCCAACTTTATTATTATTATTTACAACGGCACGGAAAAATGTGAATTATGACAGTTTTTCACAGTTGCGATCTTGGCAACAACCTCACGATCACGTGATCAAAATCCAGACACTGGGCAACCGACTCATATTTACGATGGTCGCCATGTCCCGGGGGTGGGGGGGTCACATCGATCCCCTTTTGTGACCTTCTGACAAGCGAAGGCAATGGGGGTGCCGGATTCACTTAACAACTGGGTTACTGACTTGTCAACCGTGGCAAGAAACGGGACAAAACTCACCAAACAAAGTGTCTCATTTAACAACAGAAATTGGGGGCTCGGAAATTGTGGTCGTTAAGTCGAGGGTTAATGAAGCGCTTACCCACTGCTGCAACTGCAGGGCGCTTATTGTAGATGTATTTCGTACACACCTCCTTGATGGTCTGAGCGTCGACGGCCTGAAATAGGAAATGGAAACTGATTTTTGAACGAAGCTGAAGATGCAATTGACAGCCTACAGGCCAGCGAGTGATTTTCCGTTTTATAGACAAAAGATCGACTTTGGCAGAAGGAAAATTGCCATTTTTTCATACAACGCAGACTAAGAAAGTCCAAAACTGGGTGACTTTCTCTGTCAGCCCAGATAGATAGATAAGATAGATAGATAGATAGATAGATAGATAGATAGATAGATAGATAGATAGATAGATAGATAGATAGATAGATAGATGATAGATAGATAGATAGATAGACAGACAGACAGACAGACAGACAGACAGACAGACAGACAGACAGACATACTGGTAGATGATAGATAGATAGATAGATAGATAGATAGATAGATAGATAGATAGATAGATAGATAGATAGATAGATAGATAGATAGATAGATAGATAGATAGATAGATAGATAGATAGGAAGATAGGAAGATAGATAGGAAGATAGATAGATAAATAGATAGATAGATAGATAGATAGATAGATAGATAGATAGATAGATAGATAGATAGATAGATAGATAGATAGATAGATAGATAGATAGATAGATACCAGCAGACAGACATAGATGATAAATAGATAAGCAGATATAGATGATAGACAGACATACTGGTAGATGATAGATAGATAGATAGATAGATAGATAGATAGATAGATAGATAGATAGATAGATAGATGATAGATAGATGATAGATAGATAGATAGATAGATAGATAGATAGATAGATAGATAGATAGATAGATAGATAGATAGATAGATAGATAGATAGATAGATAGATAGATAGATAGATACCGGTAGACAGACATAGATGATAAATAGACATAGACAGATAGATAAGCAGATATAGATGATAGACAGACAGACATATTGGTAGATGATAGATAGAAGACAGACAGACAGATAGATAGATAGATAAGATTTCCTTTCACCAGGCAGGAAGTCTAACCTCCGAAGATTTACGCCTATTAACACACACACACAAACACACACACACACACACTGGCCCAATCGGACACGTTTACTGACTGCGCACATAAATGCTCCTTACTTCAATTCTTGCTTCAAGTTCGGGAATCGGGATCCGGCGATTGTAGCACAGCATCTGCCGTCCGATGTCTTCGCAAATGGGAGTGGAACCTAAAATTACAGATTCTTAAAGCCTGTCTGTAAATTAATTAAACCGAAGAGGAGGTAAATAATAATAATAATAATAAAAAACCCAACTAGCTCTATAGATCCTACCGTCTAGTTGTAGCAGCATGTTCGTCTTCAGCAGGTTTTTAGCACGGGCTACTTCGCTTTCCGTAACGCTGGTGCAGAGACGTATCCTGTCAGGTTGAAAGGCGATTAAGTGACTGACAGCTGCCATTTTACTTCGTAAAGTTTGGTTTTGTTCTCCCCGGGGGACTATTCAAGTGATCTGTCTGGAGTGCAGGTCATCCTCGATTTACGATCACATCTGAGCCCAAATTTCTATTGCTAACGCGAGATATTTGTTGAGTAGAGCTTGGCCCCATTTTAACGGCCTTTCTCGCCGTAAGTGAATCACCGCAGTTGAGATCAACTTAAGCAAGTGGTGCTTCCTTTTTCTGGTTATTTGGCTATAACTTTTCATAGAATACAGTACAGATCATTGAACAAACTATGTTGCGTTACATTCTTGATTAAATTATCTTTCCATTGATATATAATTTTATGGTACTACTCCCCCAAAAAAGTGGTGTTATTAGCCATCAAACCTCAAAAATACACTTTTCCCAAAAGGTTTCCACAATTTGGGCCACTACTGTATGCAAGCTTTTGCGTGGGAAACATAGAGCTGGTTTTGCTTCGTCTGGGCCAGGGGTAGGCAACCTTGGCCCTTTTATGACTCGTGGACTTCAACTCCCAGAATTCCTGAGCCAGCATGGGGGAACTATGGCCCCTTCATGGCTTATAATAATAATAATAAAGTTGGAAGGGACCTTGGAGGTCATCTGGTCCAACCCCCTGCTCAGGCAGGAAACCCTATACCATTTCAGACAAGTGGCTGTCCAGTCTCTTCTTAAAAACTTCCAGTGTTGGAGCATTCACCGCTTCTGGAGACAGGTGGTTCCACTGGTTAATTGTTCTATCAGGAAGTTTCTCCTTAGTTCTAGGTTGCTTCTCTCCTTGATGAGTTTCCATCCGTTGCTTGTGGACTTCAACTCCCAGAATTCCTGAGCCAGCATGGCTTAGCTTGGAAACTCTTCCTTTCTCCCTCAGCATGGCTGGCTCAGGAATTCTGGGAGTTGAAGTCCACGAGTCATAAAAGAACCAAGGTTGCCTACCCCTGGTCTGGGCCAATGTAGTTGATCCAGTAAAGTTCTACTCTTGGTTGAAATGACGTCCCAGGAGTTCCTTTTTCTGGATCCGCCAACTGGACAGTTGGTAGTTAGTTCCAACTCAAAGTTACTGTCCTTACCACTCCCTCTGAACGTAGTGCATCATATCCTCCAGGGTGGTTCCTTCGCAAACCATATAAAGACCCCACAGTCCGGTGTCCGTGTAACACGTATTGAAAGACTGGAAGCTGTGACAAAGGTTGCCATGACACGCCGCTTGAGCGAGCTTGCTGGAGAGATTCTGTTCAAAGGGAGAAGGACAACAAAGCTTTTCAATGCCCCTCCGAGCTCAGAGAAATGGAAGAGGTTTGGTTTGTAATCACTTGCTCCCAATTTACAAGACCACCTCTAGGTAGAAGTTGAAACTAAGTCCTTTGGCCACCTAATGAGAAGGAAGGACTCCCTGGAGAAGAGCCTGATGCTGGGAAAGATGGAGGGCAAGAGAAGAAGGGGACGACAGAGAAGGAGGTGGCTGGAGGGAGTCACTGAAGCAGGAGGCCTGAGCTTCAATGGATGGATGGATGGATGGATGGACGGATGGATGGATGGATAGAGATAGATAGATGATAGATAGATAGATAGATAGATAGATAGATAGATAGATAGATGATAGATAGATAGATAGATAGATAGATAGATAGATAGATAGATAGATAGATAGATAGATAGATGAGATTAGATATAGATAGACAGATATAGATAAGATTAGATAGATAGATGATAGAGATGAGATAGATGAGATTAGATATAGACAAGACAGACAGAGATAGATTTAGATAGATAGATGAGATTAGATATAGACAGATATAGATAAGATTAGATAGATAGATGATAGAGATGAGATAGATGAGATTAGATATAGACAGATATAGATAAGATTAGATAGATAGATGATAGAGATGAGATAGATGAGATTAGATATAAACAAGACAGATAGAGATAGATAGATAGATAGATAGATAGATAGATAGATAGATAGATAGATAGATAGATAGATAGATAGATAGATAGATAGATAAAGATAGACAGACAGATGAAAGAGAGAAACCATCAGAATTTCATAAATCATAATTCTCCTTTTCCAAGTGGGTTGTAACTTTGAGCAGCTGTTAAGTGATCGGTCATAAGTCGAGGACTGCCTGTGATCAAGAGACCAACCAAATCATTGCTACAGAAGAGTTCAAGACTCATTTTTGCCATTTCTGAAAAAAAATACCTGTCCCGCCTTCCCTCGTTGCCTCATCGCCCTACGTGGCCTCAGGAGACCCTGGGCTCCCGCACGGATGACTCTGAAATACCTTAAGCAGGAATGCCGAACTTCGCCTGGCTTGAGAAACTCATGTTTGTATTTCCCTGGAATTCGCGTTCTTAAAACCAGGCTACGCTTTTATCATGGAGCCGTCCCAGTAAACAAAGCAAGAACTCTTCAAAGCCGCCCAGTGGCTCACTCACCATTCCCCCGCCGAAAGAGCGGTCCCAGTTGCCAATCAGGGTGTTTGCCACCATCAGAGGGATGGTGTCCGGGTGACACCAGCCAGCTGCTTCCACCGCAACAGCCAGGTGCGCCAGAGGCATTTTGTTATCTCGAACTCGGATCTGAACAATCAAGGGACACAACGAACAAAGAACTTAGCCTGATGGCCACCTCCAAACTCCCAGCTTCACAATGGAATGGATATTAAAACTCGCAATTTGGGTCCCGACAACTCAACGAAGCAGTAATCCACCCCGTCCTTGGAAGAACTTACGGTGCAGGTTGGAGACAGATGCCCCTAAGGCACGGGTAGGCAACCTTGGCTCTTTTATGACTCGTGGACTTCAACTCCCAGCATGGCTCAGCTTGGAAACTCTCCCTTTCCCCTCAGCATGCCTGGCTGAGGAATTCTGGGAGTTGAAGTCCACAAGGCATAAAAGGGCCAAGTTTGAAGACCCCTGCTCTAAAGTTTCAAACCAGTAGTTCCACTGGATGTAGAGTTGGTCTATAGCAGGAGTGGGAAACCTTGGCTCTTGTATTTATTTATTTATTTATTTATTTATTGTTTATATTTATATCCCGCCCTTCTCCTTGCGGACTCAGGGCGGCTAACAACCAGATAAAAATGCAAATCCCAAAACTACAGATTAAAACATAATTAAAAACAAATATTAATAATTGGTCTAATTTATTTAAAATTACTTTAAAACCCCCATTAAAAACTTTCCCCTAGGCCAGTC